TGTTGTACATGGAGTACATGCGCATATTAGAAGGCGCATGTTTCTATAGGTGTTGCAAATGTTTTGTGCAACTCCTACAAGTTTTGTAAATGCTCTAGTAATCCTCCAAGTAGTAGTGTTATGGACAACTTATGAATGTACTGCTGTAATGAATTGTTGTAATTCGATCTTAGGAATTCAAATGAGTTGTTGTAATTCCTGCAAATTGGTTCATCTAGCAGCTGTGCCTTGTACTGCTGTTGTAATGAAGTGTTATTTCAATGGCCTTGGAAACACATTTGAGTGAGATGTAATGAAATGGTATTAGAACTGGTTGGTACTAACTTGTATATGTTAATGTTGTTACTTGTTGACGGACATGTATTTGAATGGGTCTGAGAGTTGGCACCAACTATGGTTCATTGGCGGCATAATTTGATTTGAATCCAGTTCATTCAAATCAAATTGCAGCAGCAGCTGGTTGGCTGGCTTGTGCTGGGTTGATTCAAATCAGCTGATTGACCAGCCAAGCCAACCGATCCAGAACAGCCGAACAGACCAATAGCTAGTGGCTTGCTTGCGGCTATAAAGCCCCCCTCCAATTGGTATTTTCATGGTTTACAGACCATAGAAGCTATACATACTTCCCACACTTGAAGATAGGCTCCAACCTCAAATGAGATCTTAGTGATCCTTTCAAAGGCATACTAGGCACAATTCAATATTGATTAGCGCCTTTTAGGCCTTGTTTGTGAGATTGGGCTATTACACTCTTGTAACTTGGTGAACCAGAGCACTTGAGGTCTTTAGGTTCTTCCGGTGAATGCATGGTGGCCTTAGCGGCAATGGCCCTTCGTTCTTTGTGTGGAGCAACATCATATCGGTGTGCAGGGCAAGAGGAGAACCCCTCCATCGTATGGAGAAGCTTCATAGTGTACACGACATCATGACACTAGCCTTTGGTTGGTGGATGCTTTGTGTATCAAATCTAATACCGTGACCTAAAGAGACTTGCTTGGTTTCTAGGAGCGTATCTCATTGGAGCTCCACCGTGGCTACAGGTTATGATTTGGCAACTGATATCATGGGATATATCGTGGTCTAGTGGAGCTCTTTACTTATCTTGTTTATCACTTCCTCTTGTGATTTGCTTGGCTGACCTTTACCTTCCTAGATTAGGTTTAGGGTAATTAATAGGATTGGATCTATATTGTAAAACTCTTTGTGGGTAAATGATAAGTTAGACCACACTAGAAAAACCTTAAGTGCACATCTTGCTAGACTAGTTTATGGTTTTTCTAGTGATAGTTTAATTTGTGCCTTAGGATTTAAGTTTAAATTAGACACCCAATTTATCCCCTCTTGGGTGCTCACAAAACCTTACATTCACGCATTTGTTGGTGGTTTTTTAGCTGGGAGCAATTTTTTGCAGTTGTGTTTTGGTTTTGTGAGTTCTATGGTTCTTTTTAGTTGCAAGTCGGTTTCAATTTTGGAACATTGCAGTTGTTTCGTTTTTTTACCCATATATTTCCTGAAAAGTAGGCCAATTTATTTTGTTCTTATAATTTTAGGGCCACCCTCTCGAATGAAAAAGAGAGCCAAGGGCATAACTAGTTCTGATTAAATGTCAGGCCCGATCTGGTTCGTGTTGGACCGAAAAAAGTAGGGCAAAATTTTTGCCCCATGCCCTCCAAATCGATATATTAAGTTAGTCGGCTCTGGTTATTTCTTGATTTTTTTTGGGTTTTCCTGTGCTCGATCAGTTTTTTACTGAATCGGATTATGGATGGAAGATTATGGGCCTGAGTCAATCCGATACACTGATCGGATCATGCAGGGTTGAGGTTTATTTTTCCGGACAGGTTGGGCAAAACCCCCAGTTGGATTTCAGTGAACTTTGACCTATTTCAAGGAGCTATGAAGGCCCATTGAGTAGCAGGCCTCCGCTTAATTTAGTCCGAGTGATGATTCCCAGACGTAGCAGAAAATAGCTGAAATCATCTCAAATTTCAATGCTATATATATGTTGTAACTATTAACTATATCTCGCGATGTAAAAATATTTCTACTGGTTCTAGAGTTTAGAATGTGGGATTTGTGTTGAATTTTTCTAGTTGTTTATACTTTTAAATGTTTACATGAGATTTGAAATTATTCAACTTGAGAATATTGGAAGTTTTAGCAACAGATCAACAACTAAATACACCCTTTCATATAAAAAGTATTTTCTTAGGATGCTTGCGGTGGAAATAAACTTATACCTTTCAAACAATAGGCAGTAATTTAGGAGGAATTTTACCAGGACGGCCTCTGCTATTTATGTTTTGTTAGTATATATACTAGCACATCAAATTAAATCAAATGACACGGCTATTGCATCGCAACACCTGATCAGAGCGAGTGAATCCCAAACATGAGGACAATTTTCACGTCATCCTGGACAAGGAGAGAGTAGATAAATGCCATATTTGGATCTCAATAGATAGTAGTTATCTGCTGATAATTAGCTCTTTTAGATCAAATATGTATAGATAGTGGATTAACTAATTGTTAGCTAGACTTCAAGATAACAATTATGGAGTATTTCACTGCTTAGAGATCTTCAAGTATACCTTTGGCATGCTCTTATGGAGGGCCAAAAAGAAATATTTCCCTGATAGAATTATGGTTAGAGCAAATTGTGTAATTAGCTTGATTTTCTTTGTCTCCTTTTTTATTTCCTGAATTCCCTCCCTCCTTGCTCACCTTGAACACTGTCTTGCTACAACCTTCTTGGTTGCTTTTAATAAATTTTTTCAGTAGATGCTCATGAGCCTCTTCTGTGTTTAAAAAAAAACTATCTCACTAGTTAGACTAAATGAGATAATAGTAGCTAATAACTAGACCCAACAACCCAACCTTATCCCTTCCAGAATTCCACGCCCGCACCCCTCCACGTGACCCTTGGATGCCCGCGCCCTTCCGCTTGCCGCGCCGTCGGGGCCCTCCCCAGCTCCACTACGCCCCTCTGCCTACCGCGCCGCGGCCTCCGCCTATCACGCCCTCTCCGCCACCGCCTCCTCTACCTCCTCCGCCGAGGCCCCAGAACCACAAGCCGTCTCCGTACATGACGATGGCGCACCGGGTCCCGGAATCAAGACGCCAAGGCTCCAGGGCGAGCATGTGGTGGGACCAGGAGGGGGTGTCGCTGGAGGAGGAGGGGAGGGAGGGAGCCGGTGCCTTTGCGGCAGAGGAGGACAGCGGGGGAGGACGCTGTTGGCCCAACAAAGGATAGCGTCGGGGGCCCAAGCAGGGTGTGGGACCATGTGAGGCGGAGGAGCGGCGGCAAGGACAGTGACAACAGGGTGGCGTGGTAGGAGACGACGATGGAGAGCGTGGACGGAGACGGGGATGAGGAGGAGGAGGAGGAGGGGTGGTGGTGGTGGCTGTGAGGGTGGAGAACGGTGTGTTGCAGGCAACGCGGATGGCGCCATCGGAGACGCAGGAGGCGAGGTCCTGCATGGCAGACGGGAGCAGGAGGCTGAACGTGCTCACCATTCCGCTCTATCCAATTTACGATGCGGTGCGGGGAGCCGGGGATCAGAGGGGACGCAATGGTCTGCACTCACCATTCCGCCATGGACGCAAGCGTGGGCGTCCTGAGTAGCTGAGCCTGCGGGGTGGCAGAGACGGAGCAGCGGGATTGCAGAGACGGAGAGGTTAGAGGCGAGCGGCCGAGGCAGGGTAGGCACATGCATTCGGTAATTAGCTGTGTATCCAAACACTCTCCCAGCTAATAGGTAGCTAGTCAATTGTTAGACAACCAATATTAGCTATATGTTATTAGCTAGCAAACTACTATCAGCTAGTGGATCCAAATAGGGCCAAAATCTCGTTCCACCAGCTACAGCTTCCAGGCCATTCAACATCTGAAACAAACCATCTCGATCAAACATGCATACATGCGGCTGCAGTCGGCATAGAGTTATGTCATCCTCCATTCATCTCTTATAAAAAACACAGTAAAATGCATATATGTTTACAGGATGTTTAATGGTAACCATCCGCCTACAACATTAGTTCCTAAATCTTTATTAGAATATAGAGGCTGTTGCTTTGCTCATTCTGTAATCGTGTCAATGTGTATCAGCATATAGTTGCATTGATAGGCATAGTTTGTTTTTCATTTAAACACATGTCTATTTTGGTTAGCGTAGAATCGGATCAGGAACGGAGACTGCACGTTCTGTGGTCTGACCGCTTCATAGGGAAACTCCCCGCCATGGCCGCACGCCGTGCATGTCGCACGGGCTCCGGAAATAACGGCGCACCGTGCAGCTGTGGACCGTGGCGGGGTGAGCGGGCATGAGCCCGTTGTGTACCCTTTATCAGTCAATGAAAAGCAACAAAAAGTGCTGCGCGTTGTGGCGTGAAAAACTGTCTTCTGTTCTTACTCTCTCGTGTGTGTGTTCGTCTTGTTCGCGGTGACCACGGCGATTGTGATCGCTGTGACCTCGCCGGAGCCCGGTGGTTGAGATCACCGGCGTTCCAACAAGTGGTATCAGAGCTGGTTGATGTTCTACGGTGGGTCCGTTAGCCCACCGCGTGAACCACCGAAGAAGAAGTTCGTGATCCCGCGCATGACACCGGAGAAGAAGATGGGCAACAGCGCATCAGGCAGCACGTCCGGCGGCGTCAAGGAGAGCTCGTTGATGTGGCCAATGTTGACTCGCTCAAATTATCAGGAGTGGGCAATGTTGATGCAATGCAATTACGAGGCTTTGGAGATTTTGGAGGTGATTGATCCGGGGGTAAACCCCAAGCACGCCCAAGATCGCCAAGCCATGAGCGCGCTCCTGCGCTCAGTGCCGAAGGAGATGTGGCAGACTCTTGGAAGCCGCAAGACGGTGAAGGAGGCGTGGGAGGTGGTGCAAACGATGCGCCTAGGTGCGGATCGTGTGAAGGACGTCAATGCCCAGAAGCTCATGAAGGAGTTCGAGAACATCTAGTTCAAGGATGGGGAGACGATCGACGACTTCGGCATGTGCATCACCAATCTCGCCGCCAACCTCAAGTCGCTGGGTGAGACGCTGGAGGACACGCGGATCATAAAAAAGTTCCTACGTGTGGTGCCTCCTCATTTCCACAGCGTGGTCGTCTCGATCGAGATGTTCTGTGATCTAAAAAAACTCACGGTGGAGGAGTTGATCGGGCATCTGCGGGCGGCTGAGGAGAGGTTCGACGAGAAGGTCGAGCAGATCACCGACAAGGCTGGGTGGTTGCTGTTGGCCGAAGAGGATTGGCTTGAGAAGCACAAACATCGCTTCCAGGTGGATCGCAAGGATGGCGGCGGCAGCGGGTCCGGTGGCGGCAGTACCGGGGCCACCAGCGGCAGTGCCGGTCACTGGAAGGCCAAGTCGGTGGCGCACTCTGATGGCGGCGGCTCGGGATCAGGCAGACTGACCTCCGAGGGCATGCCACGGTGGAAGGGGCGCTGCCACAACTGCAATATCTATGGCCATTGGGCCGAGGATTGCAAGCGCCCGAAAAGAGAAAAGAAGAAGAAGGAGGCCAAGCAGCCTAAGGCGAATGTAGCTGTGCAGGGAGATCATGGGGCGGTGTTGCTGATGGCGGCAGTGGCCAGCGTCCACTCAGGTCGTCCACCTGGCGGAGAAGAACGTGGTGCCCATCGAGTGCCCTGACGGAGTATGGGTGCTGGACACCGGAGCCAGCAACCATATGACGGGGACTCGATCGGCGCTACAGTACCTCGACGACAAAGCTTGAGGAACAATGCGCTTCGGTGATGGCTCCCACATCGAGATCCATGGCATTGGGTCCATGGTGATGCAAGGGCGTCATGAACAACACAAGGTACTCACTGATGTGTATTATATTCCTAAGCTTAAGAGCAATATCATCAGTTTGGGTCAATTGGAGGAGAAAGGGTGTGAGGTTTCTCTGAAAAATGGGAGGCTAAATGTGCTTGATCCAGTGGGCACATTGTTGATATCAGCACCTAGAACAGGAAATAGGTTGTACACAATCAAATTGGGGCTTGTTAATCTAGTCTGTCTTATGATGAAACATGATGACGAAGCATGGCAGTGGCATGCTAGATTTGGCCATCTTAATTTCAGAGCCCTCAGGGATTTGGGCCGGAAGGAGATGGTGGTGGGGATGCCGACCGTGGAACATGTTGAGCAAGTGTGTGATGGGTGCACCCTAGGGAAACAGCACCGCACACCTTTTCCACAAGTATCAAATTTCAGAGCTGGCACCGGCCTGGAATTAGTTCATACTGATTTGTGTGGTCAGATAAGCCCAATTACACCAGGAGGTTGTTCATATTTTCTGTTGGTTGTGGATGATTTCAGTAGGTACATGTGGGTTGAATTTCTTAAGACAAAAGATCAAGCACTTGACTACTTCAAGAAAATTAAGCTTAGGGCTGAAGTAGATCATGGAAGTAAACTGAAAGCTCTTAGAACAGATAGGGGAGGAGAGTTTGTGCCCAATCTATTCTCTGCCTTTTGTACTGAGTCAGGCATCAAGCATTACACAACTACTCCATATTCACCTCAGCAAAATGGAGTGGTTGAGCGTCGAAATCAAACTATGGTGGAGATGGCAAGGTGCATGATGAAGAGCATGTCTGTTCCTTCAAAATTTTGGGCAGAAGCTGTGGCAACTGCAGTATATGTCTTGAATAGATCACCCATGAGAAGCCTGAAGAACAAGACTCCTTTTGAGGCATGGCATGGCAAGAAACCAAATGTGGGTCACCTGAAAACATTTGGGTGTACTGCACACGTCAAGTTGATTGGTCTAGGACTGACAAAACTGACAGACAGGTCAAGGAAAATGGTGTTTTTGGGTTATGAATCTGGAACTAAAGGCTACAAGCTATTTGATCCAAACACTAATAGATTGACAGTCAGCAGAGATGTATTGTTTGAAGAAAATATTCCCTGGGAGTGGAACAAGGCCACAGAAAATAGCCACAACGATCTAGATACTTTCATTGTTCAGTATGAAGACACTGACCAAAATCCGACAATAGGTACAGTGTAGGCAGATCCAGACAATGAAGGTTTTTTGGGTGATTTGGGCAGCGTGGGTCAAGGTGCTGGTGACCATCAATTGTCACCAAATCCTATTAATACTACAGGAAGTGCATTTGCAGGTCAGAATCAAGCTGGTACACCATCAACTAATGCCTCTAAAGAAACTTGGGGAGCACCACTGAGATTTAGAAGTCTGAATGACTTGTTTGACTCCACTGAAATGATACACGATTTTGAATATAGTGGTGTGTGCATGCTGGCTGCTGATGAGCCAGTAAGTGTAGAGGAAGTCCTTGAACAAGATTGTTGGAAAAGGGCTATGCAAGATGAATTGGACTCCATTCTCGAGAACAAGACTTGGGAAGTTTCAGAACTGCCAAGGAATCACAAAGCCATTGGGCTAAAATGGGTCTTCAAGGTAAAAAGAGATCCAGCTGGAAATGTGGTAAAACACAAGGCCAGGCTTATGGCAAAAGGGTATGCTCAGATCCAGGGGGTGGATTATGATGAGGTTTTTGCTCCCTGTAGCAAGACTAGAGACTGTCAGGCTTTTGCTTGCTCTTGCTGCTCAAGGGGAGTGGGAGGTGCATCATATGGATGTCAAATCTGCCTTTCTAAATGGAGATTTCATGGAAGAAGTGTATGTACATCATCCACCAGGGTTTGCTAGCTCCAGTGCTGCAGGAAGAGTACTGAAATTGAAAAAGGCCTTGTATGGCCTAAAACAAGCACCGAGGGCCTAGAATTCTAGGCTTGATCAAGAGTTAGTGAAGCTTGGCTTCAGGAGAAGTGAGGAGGAGCATCTTTGTTTACAGGAGGAGAGGAACAGTGCATCTTTGTTGCTAGTTGGGGTGTATGTAGATGACCTCATTATCTATAGGCCAAATAGTAAGAGTATTGTTGATTTCAAGCAACAGATGATGAACAGCTTCAACATGAGTGATCTAGGATTGTTGAGCTACTATCTTGGCATGGAAGTGAAACAACAACCAGGAGAAATCACCATCTGTCAAAGCTCATATGCAGAGAAAATTGTTGAAATCTGTGGTATGAAAGGGTGCAATCCAATTGGATACCCCAATGGAGCAACATGTAAAGTTGTTGCACGGGAAACCTGAATCGATGGTCAATGCAACAAAATTCAGAAGTGTGGTTGGGAGCACGAGGTATTTGGTGAACACTAGACCGACATTGCCTACTCTGTTGGGATGGTAAGCGAGGTTCATGGAGTCACCTAATGTCGATCATTGGGCGACCATCAAAAGAATCATCGGATATATTGCGAGCACAACTGGTTTCGGTTGTAAGTACACCAAAGGGGAAAATTCAGAACGGCTCGGCTATTCGACAAAGTGATCATGCAAGAGACTTGAAAAGAGAAAAAGTACCACCGAGTTGTTTTCTTCCTTGGTGGCAATCCAATTACTTGGACATCACAAAATGTAAGGTGGTCTCATTATCGTCTTGTGAGTCTCGAGTATATAGCTGCTACTAATGGGGCTTGTCGTGGTGTTTGGTTGAGTTGTGTTGTTGGGTGATCGACTTGCAAGATCTTGTGAAGAAATTCAAGCTTCAGTATTGATGACAAGTCAACCTTTGGAATTGAGCAAAAACCCAGTATACCATGAGAGGAGCAAGCATATAGACACTCGGTATCATTTTATCAGAGTGTATTGCTGATGGTGCGGTGGATGTGAGTCACCTTGGGACTGATGACCAGCTAGCAGACATTTTGACAAAACCACTTGGAAGGATCAGGTTCGTGGAGATGAGGCAGCGGCTAGGAACAATCAGAGTTGATCACGATTAAGGGGGTGAAATGTTGCTTTGCTCATTCTATAATCGTGTCAACGTGTATCAGCATATAGTTGCATTGATAGGCATAGTTTGTTTTTCATTTGAACACATGTCTATTTTGGTTAGCGTAGAATCGGATTAGGAATGGAGACTGCACGTTCTGTGGTCTGACCGCTTCATAGGGAGACTCCCCGCCATGGCCGCACGCCGTGCATGTCGCACGGGCTCCGGAAATAACAGCGCACCGTGCAGCTGTGGACCGTGGCGGGGTGAGCGGGCATGAGCCCGTTGTGTACCCTTTATCAGTCAATGAAAAGCAACAAAAAGCGCTGCGCGTTGTGGCGTGAAAAACTGTCTTATGTTCTTACTCTCTCTTGTGTGTGTGTGTGTGTTCGTCTTGTTCGTGGCGACTTCGATCGCTGTGACCTCGCCGAAGCCCGGTGGTTGAGATCACCGGCGTTCCAACAGAGGCAAGCTCATTAATATATATATATATATATATGTTATAAACGGATTATCAATCTGTTGCTTTTGGGCAATCTGGTTAACCCATTGCATAAAATTTGAGCGGTGTTCAAAGGTTATGTAACAACAACGCTTCTCAAGAAGTCACATAATTCTCATATATGAACACGGGTACTGTACTAGTTTAATAATAAAGTATAAACAGATGAAAACGATCGAATTTGACTTTTGTTACTGGATAGTGATGCATAAAGAGAATAAAACAAAATTGAGGAGACAAAACAATCCAAGGTGCCCTCAAGACCGTTCAAGACCATTTTTTAAGATGTATAGAATGGGATTCCTATCGAAGTAATAATCGTTCTTTCAAATCATGTTGGGAATCTCATCGTGAGGAGAAATAAAATGTTACTGTCGATGCGGGACCTACAGGATACCCCGCAAGAGAGATAAAAGATCTAGTTCAACTAGGATTATTCCCATATAATCTTAAATAGTAGAACTATTAAGTAATCCTACTAGGAAATCTCATTGTAAACCGACTAGGACTCTGGCCTCCTGACAATATAAAGGAGGGCAGGGCTCCTGAAAGAGCGGACAACAATTGTACAACATAACACTTCATAATCAATCCAACGCGAAAGGCCAACGCCGACTGGACGTAGGGTCGTTACTCGATCTACGATCGAGGGCCTGAACCAGGATAAATCGACTGTCTCTTGCGTTTACCATCGAGTTCAGCATACGCCGAAGCCCGAACGATACTACCACGGTACCCCTGTGGCAGGCTATCGGTGGTAAAACATCGACAGCTGGCGCGCCAGGTAGGGGCTTTCGGCGACTTTGCATCCGAGAGCTCGATGGACCTCAATAACATGATCTTCCCGACAGGATCGATTTTCATCTTCGGCTCATGGATCTACGAGGCGGACAACTACGACAAGCTTCAAAGCCATCTCCTCAAAGATCCGGATCATCATGAAGAATCTCCTATTTCGACAACTACGACGGATCAGCTCACCAGAAGATTTGCGCAGCCCATAATACCCGATTCGAATAAGATTCCACGGCTACACGCATCCGACTCGAATTCAAGCTCCGTATCCGAGATGAAGTCTTATTCGAGTGCTTTCAAGAAATCGAGTTCTTTTTTGGCAAGATTCCAGAGCACAACCCAAAACAACTCGGATTATCCTTAGAATTCTTTCAAAAGGCCGAGTTCTTTTCCATTTGGGCTCGACAACGCGACAAAATCCTATCAGGGACAATTCGAAAGGTCTTTCAATCCAACACTTGGGATACCACTGACCGGAGCTCGGGAGGGTCTCGTACTAACGATAACATCGCAAGATCAGATCATCCATCGGCGAGATCCGTTCTCGAGGATAGCGGAACCCAACTAGTCGCACACAACAACAACAGCTATTCTACCTTACCAAGAAGGAGACTCGATCACGACGCCGAGGCGCCTCATGAAGTCATCAAGAACTCCGACAAAGATGAAAACTAACACCAATAACGGAACGGCTCACGCGCGGAGGTGCTCATGGTTCGACGTCCTCGGTCACCATTAAATCCCGGAAGCACCCGATGTCGAGGTCATCGATGAATCGAGTCCAACATATCACCCTTTGCCCAGGCTACGATGGAGAAACCGAGAGTCGAGACAAAGCTAGAGAAAGGAAAAACAAGTTGAAGCAAGGCGCCAACACCGCGCCAACAAAGACATAGAAGCTGGACCAGACACGAGTCGAGTTGGTGAATACGACAAAAGAAAATCACAACAAGAAGTCAAGAAAGACGACAAGTGAATACGCCTTACGATAAGATTCGAGAAGCATTAGAAGAACTCAGGGCAACTTCACATCACGGAGAGAAGTACGAACAACTCCAGGACTTGCTCCGGTCGACGATCCCAAGAACGCATGAAGAGAGAGCCCGATCAAGACTACCCGCCAGATCAACAACCCGCAGGCAAGAAGATCAAAATCAAAGGAAGTCCGCTTTTGAGAGACTTGGGCCAGGTGGAAGCCATAACGGAGAAAGTAGGAGGGAACATAGTCGGGGCCACCAATTTGAACAACCAAGGAAGACCAGGAGTAGAGTGCCTACCCAGACAGCCTCGCAGACTTATTCCCATCAAAACAACACTTGGCTGGAAGAAGGAGCCGAATCCGAATTCAAGGAAGCCGGAACGCATGACAGATTCCCCTGTTTTGCAAATAGGTTGACATCAGTACGATTACCTCACAAATTCAAACCGTCTAACCACTCCAAGTATGATGGCAAAACCGAACCAAGACAATGGCTCAGAATATATTCACAATCAATTGAACTAGCCGGAGGAGACGATGATATCAAAACCTTGTTCTTTCCCATGGCCCTGGAAGCAATGCCCCTCCAATGGTTCGATAAATTGAACCCAGGATCGATCAGAACTTGGGAAGACTTGCAAAGAGCTTTCTGTGAAAATTTCGCAGGTATCATCACACACCCGATCACTCATGCAGAACTGAAAGGACTCAAGCAAAAGGGGGGCGAAAGTCTCAGAAATTACTATCGACGATTCGGCGAACTGCGGGCTCAAGTGCATGACATCACCGAACGAGATGTAATTGAAGCTTTCTCTCATGGAATCATGGCTAGGTGGCAATTTCAAGACTTCTGCAAAGAAAATCCGAGAAACAATGAAGAGTTCAGGCGAACAGTAGAAAAAATGATTACTACAGAAGAAAAAACACGAGAAAGGTTCCCGGATAGAAGCAATCAAGACAACCCGGATAGGCAAAATCATCGAAATAGCAGACATCAAGAAAGAAAGCGTAGACCAGACAATACCGTGGCAACGGCCGACAAATCAAAGAAGTTTTCCAAACCTAGAAGATATGATGACATTGAAAACATACGTTGCCCATTACACCCTAACGGGAGACACACCATCGGAAACTGCTACACTTTCAATGATCGATACACAAGAAAAGATAGTAAGGAGAACACCAAAGAGGACAATCACAAGAAAGATGAAGACAACCACGAGGACAAAGGATTTCAAAAACCCAGGGGAACGGTAGCAGTGATCTTCTCAGGGGCTCCAGATTGCACAAGCAAACGTCAAGAAAAACTAGCACTACGGACTATCATGACGGCAGAACCGGCTACACCAAGATATCTCAATTGGTCACAATATCCAATCCAATTTTCAAGAGAAGACCAATGGACTAGCGTAGGGAACGCAGGCCATTACCCACTAGTTCTAGACCCGACTATTGCCAGTATGACTGTCACCAAAGTACTAATCGACGGGGGAGCTGGACTCAACATCATCTTTTCAGAAACACTAAGGAAGATGGGACTACAACTCGCTGGGATGATTACACCAACAAGCACTCCTTTTTACGGAATAGTACCCGGCAAAGCAGCCATGCCACTCGGACAAGTTACTTTACCCGTCACTTTTGGAACTCCTTCGAACTATCGAACAGAGTTTATCAAATTCGAGGTCGCAGACTTCGAGTCGTCATATCATGCGATCCTCGAATGCCCAGCGCTGGCAAAATTCATGGCAATACCACATTATCCGTACTTATTACTTAAGATGCCAGGACCCAACGGTATCCTTTCTCTTCGAAGCGATTTGAAGCGTGCTTTTGACTGCGACGTTCAGGCAATCCAAATTGCGGCCAAAGCACAAGCCGACAATGGAAGAAAAGAAATAGCCACAATTGCTGCGGAGATGAGCCAAGAAGAATTAGAAATACCGGCTAAAAAGCCCAGCATCATCACACCACCAAAAGAAGCCGACGTCAAGCAAATCGATTTGGGCACCGGCGATACCTCCAAGACAGCAACCATTAGT